AAAAGCATTGGGACATTACTATTGGCTATTTCAATTTGCAAATGCCAATAGTAAACTAGCATTGTACCCGCCCTCTGCTGATGGACCTGATGGGGAACTGCAGAGGGCGGGTACAATGCTAGTTTACTATTGGCTATTGCAAATTGAAATAGCCAATAGTAATGTCCCGATGCTTTTTAATGGGATAAGATAGCTGTTTAGAGATCAGTGTCCCTGGTTAGCAACCAGGGATGCTGATCTCTCTGAAAGTGGCCGGAGCCAGCCGTAAGATCACGGCTGGCTCCGCCCAGCTGTCAGAAGCAGGCTGTCGGCTGGCCAATGGCCGGCCGCTCGGCCAGCTTCGGCTTTCTGCACGGCTCAGCCGACTATTGTGAATAGCCCGTACAGCACCCCCTCGGTTCTACTGAACCGAAGGGGTCCTGGTGCCGAAGCTAGCCGAAGGATCGGCCGAAGCTACGGCCAGATCCCTCGGCAGCTTCGTGAATAGACCCCTAAATTAAAGAGTAGTTAATGGAACGAAAACGATTTTCACCCGGTACCCAATTTTCGTCAATGTTCTCCTCCCCACTGGTGCTGGCTGCAGAGGTCTGTGTTCCTCTTAATCCCGATATCGGCAGAGGCAGTGGGAATACAGACCAATGCACCCACCACAAGCAGGGAGGAGAGACTGTCACTGCATTCCCCCACTGCTCCCCCTCGTACCTCCGCTGCTGCCTGTTCCTCCTTTTGCCCGCCGTGTTCCACTCTAGGCGGTCAGTGCGGTTGTCAGTGTGGGCTTTGGGCAGTCAGTGCGGACTCTGGGCGGTCAGTGCGGGCTCAGTGTGGTCAGTGCAGTGGTCAGTCAGTGCGGCCTCTTGGCGGTCAGTGCGGCCTCTAGGCGGTCAGTGCGGCCTCTGGCCGGCTCCTGGGTGGTCAGTGCGGCCTCTGGGCGGTCAGTGTGGCCTCTGGCCAGCTCCTGGGCGGTCAGTGCGGCCTCTGGGCGGTCATTCATTTAAAAAGTAAAGATCCACACAGTGTATCTGCCATATTGTATGATCAGATGCATGGCCAATGGCAGGCACACTGTGTGGATCTTTATTTTTTAAATTAAAGAGGACAGCAGCCAGTGCACAAGGCTGAACACTTACCTTTATAGTCCAGCAGTTGTGCTTCTCTCCTGCATGCCTAGCTCCGCGCTTTAAGAAAAAATAAAAAAAACCTTCCTGCACGTACGGAACGTACCACTTGTACAGGGGGGGCCCGGGACCGTACCAACTTGCCTGTACATACTTATTTATTAAAAAAATTGCTCGGTCAGAGCTTGGGCCCCCCCAGTGGCCTGGGGCCCCTTACATTAGTGATGGCCGTACCCCCCTGATGGCGGCCGTGAACATCGGTACCTGACCTCACAAATACGCTTCTGGAAGAATGGTCAAACATTCCCATAAACCTTGTGGACGCCTTCCCATTAAGAGTTGAAACTGTTATAGCGGCAAAGGGTGGGCCAACTCAATATTAAACCCTACGGACTAATACTAGGATGCCATTAAAGTTAATTTGCGTGTAAATCATAAATAATGTGCAAAATATCTGCTCTGTTTTGTTTCAGATGTCCTTTGAGTCTGAAGGGTGAAGCTAAAATTGACATTTATTATGGATCACAGCGAAAATTCGTAGACTGTGAAATTGACGAGAACACTGGGCTCTTTGAGGAGAATTGTAATTTCTTCCCAATTGTTGAGAAGAATGTCCATGAATCAATCATGTATGGACAGGCACTGGACCCTGTAAGTCCTGTCTCCAGAAAATGTGTCTGTGTTGGGCTATACTTGGTTCTGTGCTACTTAGACTTCTACCAATTATGTCACATGACTCATATACTGTATATTCAGCTGGAATGAACTGTACTGAATGTTATTTAAATAATAGGTCTGCCATTGTTGACCTTTTTTTTTAAATGTATGTGGCTTCAGTACTCCAAAATGTTGACCTGGAACAGACATACAGATCAGCAAAGCTCCTCATCTACATACATATAAATAATTAAACCATTGGATTAGCCAAGGAACTAGCATATTTAGAAGGAAAAGTCAGCAATGGCAGATTGTGTGCTTCCTTACTACAGATTTCTTTTATGTCCCATTTACACCTATGGGTTGCAGTAACATGTGTTACTCCAAAGCACATCTAAGCACTGCTCTAAATTGTTGTGAATGGCATCCAATACACTATACATTAGCTACCAAAGCACAACGCATGGCAGCGAAGCACAACTGACATAGATTGCATTGTGACGCTTTGCGGTGCTTACATGCTATTTGTCTGTTGAGGCCTGTTGGCAGCACTGCAAATGAACTCAGAAGTCTACAAGTTCCATGTTTTGATGGGCTGTGGTGCTATTCATTGTAAAATGCCACCACAAAGCACCTGCAACTCAGCGCACCACAACGTGCAGTAATGCATTACCATGCACTGTACTAGGAAAAATGCAGCTGGTTTGTTGTGGTGCTTTAGGCAGCTTATTAAAAATGGATGGACTGCCTTAATGCAATGCACATTAATGCACGACTCACAAAAGTTGGTTAGTTTGCAGGTATGTTTATACAGTCAATAACCCATGCATGCTAAAGAGTATATGAACATCATGCAGATGGTCCATTCACTTACAACACCATCTAGCATCCCAGTACTGTGAGTCAACATTTCTAAGACACCATGATGTCACATTTTTAAATAATAAAACAATGATTATAACGATAAAAGTCCTAGAGCTCCCAAGCTCCATATAGCTCTAACAATTACAGAACCCCAGTGGATTGCCCAGTATTTCTCCATTCCCCCTTAGCTAAACTGTCAAAATCATTACCATCGCCAGTCCTATTTTGGTACCAGTTTCTGATGAGTTGCTGCTGAATCCTTTGTTTTAGGTTACTTTAACATTTGTGTTTACTTAATGTTCCTTCATACATGTTGATAAAGGTGCGATGGTTGAAAATAATATTGGAGGCAAGTGACTCATTATAGGCTATTTTTCTAGTTGCTTATGAGCATCTATTTTGGTAACAGTATGACTTAAAAAAAATGTCAAAAGCTTGGTTACACTTTCCATATGGAAAGCTAAGAACAGAACAGTTGTCTTTGAAAAAGAAAGGTGTGTGTAATGGCTGGGCATAAGGAGCAATCTAACTCTGACCACACCAACAAATTAATCAGCAAAGCTAGGAAGTAGTAAGCCATTCATGTGCGTCCAAGTGATCTAACTGGTTAGCACCAGTACAAAATATTACCAGCACACCATGTTTGGATATAAACACAGGACACTGTAGTGTCACAAAGAGGAAGTGACATTTCAAGGCAACTAGATACCTCTACCTCAGGCAGTACTGCTGTCTGCTTCCTGAGGTAAAGGTCCTGGAAACATTATTTCCTGTTGGTGAAGATGTCTGAACATGGTGTGCTGATGATATCTTTAATTTGGGACTTATGTTGTGGCGGTGCCAACTGCCATTTCACCAAAGCACCCTTTTATGATTGGGTCTGAATGTTGTATGGAGTACACTGGACTTCTTAGATTTATGGACTAACTGGTTAGCAGCCTTGCCACCTTAGTCTATAGTATAGACTCTATACTGATAACAATGATAGTTAATAATGTAATTATTAGATTAATTTTAAGAATTCAGAAATTCAGCTACATTAAGTGCTTCCCATTATCCAAGGGTTGTAGATACCCCTTGGTTAGGAAACCCTGATCTAAAAACATCTCATGCCAGTGCTGCTCACCATTTTAATATGTTTTTTCTTTTTTTTAGGTAAATGCATTCTGCAAACACAACACCCACAACAAAGAAGCTCCAAATGAACAAAACAGACTATGCAACCAGCAAAGCACATGGGAAGTCATCATGAATTCTGACGACATTAAATCTTCTGCTCCACTGGGAGACAGCAGTGTCCCTCCTCCCACAATTACCCTGCTGCAGTATAAAGACAGAGTGGTTACCTTGGTACTGGACGTTTCTGGAAGCATGAGTGGAGTAAGTATATTTTTAAAAAACATAACAAGGGGAAATTGACAGTAAGCAAGTAATCTCTAAAAGGTATTGTATATTATTTATTAACACTTTTTAATAGCTACCTGAAAATCAGTTATACATTTTCTCCAGCATTTGCTCAGAACATTCCTCCAACTGTAGTCACAGGTCAAAAAAAAAAATCTCCAGGTCACTTTGCACTGTCCAAGGGGTGTTGCCACTTTGAATATTAATGAAGCGGGGGGGGCTCAGAGTTTCCACAGAGAAGCTCATGTACAAGGGAAGCAAAGAATGTGGGAAATGTAATTTTCCCCACATCCTCTAGTCTACACAGAGCACAAAGGCAACCATTTCAAAAAAGCCATGTGAAGACTAAGAGGACAGCTAAAAAAAGAGGACGTTTTTGTGTTTATTTACAGCAATTGCATATGCCTGCTTATGGTACACATTGCTGTCATATGTTTTGTTTAAAATGCCCCCATAAAGGTGAAAATGGGCTTTAAGCATATTTTCACTATCATATTTTAAGGGAAATTTTAAGAGACAAAGTGACGAGTTCTCTGGACCCTCCCCACTTCTCCCACCTATACCAACCTTTGCCATGCTTCCCCGCCAGTTTGTCTTTCTTTCGAAGCCCTGGGTCTAATTCCTGCATAAGCTCTGTGCCTATATATGTTGGAACTTACATGGGGTTAATGACCTGTTCCATACCACCATGTGAATTTGGACCTGGCGATTGTACACTGATGTCCAAGCACTGCATCCTAGGAATGAGTGGAGGTCACATGCTTTCCCAGTCCTGGAGGCATTGGTATTTTCCAGGGTTTCAAAAGATGAATAAAGTGTTGGGGAGAGCATTGCAAAGGTGAATACCAGTGAAAGGGGGGGCTCAGGCGAACCAGCCATTTTGCATTTAAGGGGCGTTATAGATTTTCTTAAAACTTTTCCTTTCTGCTCTACACAAACTGTATTGTCACTAAGCAGTCCATTGAGTATACATCAGAGTTCCCTCTCTAGTTGCAATCCGTAAATTTCACGGGGTAAAAAGCTTACCAAAGAAATGCTACATGACAATCAATTACATGACCAGCCACCTGTAGAAAGCACTGTATACCAGAATGGGACACACACACTTTCAGTGCACCTCTAATACCAGAGCTTTGCCCATACAGATGCCTTAAATAATTAGTTCATCTTTAGGGATATTTCACCCAAAATGCCCCATGTATTCCAGCATGCTCTGCTGAATATAAGTTTAAAAAATGCTCCTGTGTCATGTCATACCCTTAAGGCCGTGCATAGCCAGACCGCAAAACTCCTTGCTGGGTGATCCCCCTCCGTCCCTATACACTGCAGGATGTGCCTGCCTACCCCCAAAACAGAAGGAACAAGCCAGTGGCCCATTCAAACACTGCACATGTCCAGTGTGCTCTCTCCCCCTCTGAGCTCAGCCGCTGCTGCTACAAAGGGGAAGAAATATTAATACAAGAACATTTTTACACAAACTGGAAAATCCTCAATTTTTTGGTTAAAGGCTAATTCCACCTTTATGATCATGTTTTCATGTTACACAAATTTAGGGCCACATTTGGATCTTAAAGGGTATGTTAGATTTTTGCAATTTCGCAGGCACGCACAATTTTAAGGCTTGACATGTTTTACCCGACGTGACCCCATCATTTATATTTTACCAAAAATATGGGTAATAATAGATGTTTCATAATATAACGCAGGGAAGACTTTTCTTCCTAAATTTTCTGTACTTTTTCATTATATAGTAAAAAAATAAAAACCCAGAAGGAAAAAAATTTAGTGCAACATTGCATGACGGAATAAATGTCAGTCAAAGTACTGCAATGCTGAATACTGAAAAATGGCCTGGACAGGAGGGGGGTTTAACACCCCAGTCATCAAGTGATTAATTTGTCCATGTTAACTCTGGTCCTACCAAATAAACTGTCACTCTCAAAGGGAATCCCAACCCCCATTGTACATGGTGACTCTTTATGAGCCCCACTAAACTGTCTGTGGTTCTAACTGGACTAATTAGAGTCTTTTTAAGTGTATGTTTCCACCAGCGATAACCGCTTCCCTGCTCTTTTTTTTTTATGCACTTCCAGTCACTTCAATCTTTACTAAGATCAGCCCCATCATTTTACCATCCTGAGAATTTTGTTTTAGCATCCCCTTGCTAAATTCTAGGCCATCTGCCTCAGTCTGCTCACAGGACCCACATTCCCTTTCCTTAATTCCAGTCCCTGTCAAATAACTGTCTGGGTAATAGACCTCCCTGCGATCACGTGCTGCCACTGTACTAGCAGTCTCCCCATTGACACACTCAGTAATGTCCTTCTCAATCTCTTTTTGGTCCACACCAGAGCCTTTGTTTGATTGACTGTCAACCTTTTTCTCATTATTAACCATCTCAATTCTCTTGCGTTGCTCACATCATGATTTATCACCTCCTCACATTTGTTATCACAAACATTTGACAGTGAACTATAGGTCTCATCATTGTTATTAACTCAAATATTGTTGTCAGTAATATCAACACCATTACCTTTGGTTATAGCAACAACAAACCTATCTGCGCTATAGTGCACTACAAAGCACAGATGTGAATGTGAACTAAAAATAGTAAAAATAGTCCAATAGTGTAAAATAGTTCATTTTTTCTTCTTGCAGAGTGATCGCATCAACCGCATGTACCAGGCTGCCGAAGTTTATATCATGCAGATTGTCGAAACGGGATCCCACGTTGGAATTGTAACTTTCTCTTCTTCTGCATCAATTCTGTCAGATTTGGTGAAAATAGTTGACACCTTCAGCCGTGAAAAACTGAAAGGATTTCTTCCAACAGTAGCAACTGGAGGCACAAACATATGTTCCGGAGTTGATAAAGGACTTGAGGTAATTGCTTTATCATGAAATATTTTCCTCGATTGATTGATTTAGTACAGAGGTCAGAGGCTCTCCACTACACATAAACACAAACAATTATCCTCTAGAGATCCAAATACAATAATGTTAACCCCTCTGTAGATTGATTGTCCGTCCTAACGGTCTGCAACCGAAAGAAATGCTAAACTACAAAAAATTGTCAGCTATAAAGCTATAGCTGACAATTGTTTGTAGTTTAGCTCTCCACTACACTGCCATCTGTTTTAGAGGTTTATATTCTGTTTATTCTCAGCAGAAACACTTTTGTGAACGTTCCTTTAAAGAAGAAATAAAGATTCAGCCAAAAGTCTATAAAACAGCCGAAGATTTTATCAGCTATACAAATGTGTGTATATGCCATAGTACTAAGAATATGTGTACCTGCTTAAATCTGTCTAAGTTCTGCTAAACCAGAGAGTCACAATCATGATTTTTTTTGTGTAAAACTCCTGGCTTGTCTTTGAGCAGAAGCAAGGGAGGGGGTAATATAAAATGGCATCTTATGCATACCTTTAAGGTTTCACCTACTAAGGCTGCAGATCATAAAATATATTTATATTTATTTTGTGTGATGATGAGCAAAAACAGTAAAAGTACTGCCCAGGTCCAAAGGAAGCAAGGGGACATAGGTTTCCTGTTTGTATGATATAGAGCTATCCTTAAAGTGGACCTTGCACTCCATGCAAGAAGTGTTTGCTCAATGAGGATCCCCTTCTTTCATCTTATTCTGCTGCACAAAAATGTAAATTTCCCCTGGCTTCTATACTGCAGGGGCTGACATCTCGAGTTGAGTTCGAGTCGAACATTGGCAGTTCGAGTGCTCGCCGAACTTTTTGTTCGACCGCGGTTTGTTCGACCGCGGACATTCCATAATACAAAATGCCCACTGAAGCTCTGATTTGTTGAAGTCTTGCACCTGACCATAGGTCAGGTGCAAGACTTTGCCCAATCAGGGCTCAGCGCAGGAGGGGCCTGAAGGAGAAAGTTCTCTATCAGGTCCCCCCATGCTGATTGACAGCAGGCAGTGGGCGGCTTGCTATTGGCTATTGCATTTTACAATATCCAATAGCAGGCTGGGTATGGCTCCCAGCCTGCAATGAAGAGGAGGCAGGGGGGTGGGGCAGAGGAGCCGCGGCCGGACCGGATCCTAGACGAAGGCCAGGGGACCGGAGGCCGGGACAGCAGCGGACGGACCAGGGGACCGGAGGCCGGGACAGCAGCGGAGGTAAGGGGGGCAGCGAAGGCATTCAGCGGTCTGTGTCCCTGCTGTCTCCCCCAACACAGGCGCAGAGAGCAGTGGGGATTTGAAGGGACACAGGCCGCTGCAGCCACAGTTTTACTACATGTACCGGCAGCTGTATGGGGGTCGAACATTCGACCCCCATACACTGGCATTGAGTTCGTATTCGAACATTTCGGCCGTTCGAATGTTCGAATACGAACCGAACACGGGGGTGTTTGGCTCATCCCTATTCAACATCTCTTGAGATGATGCTACAGCACAATGCAGTATTATTATTATTATAATACAGGATTTATATAGCGCCAACAGTTTGCGCAGCGCTTTACAATATAAGTAAGATATTACAATTACAATACAATTCAAGACAAGATGGTAAGGAGGGCCCTGCCCGTGAGGGCTTACAATCTACAGACACCCTTGTGACACCCTCCCTCACCTGGGCTCTGTAGGCAGAACCTGGGGTAAGGTAAGTATATTAACCAATGTTTTTTCACCCACAGTTGTTTTTTTTAACATTTTTGTGCAACAAATTAAGATGGGGGAGTGGGCCCTCACTGAATGAACAGACCTTGCTATTTTGGTGCATGACAAGAGGGTTAGTCACCACTGGTAATTGCCTGAAGATATGAGGTGATGGTGAGGTGTGCAACTGAGATGTGGGCTTTACTAGACACCTCCAGCAGCCAGCCTATCTAGTGATAAAGCAATAGTTATCAGCCATGAAAAATCCATTCTTAGACCGAGAAAGTTCAGTCAGAGGATGTCTGAATAGTGATTACAGACATATCACTGCCCAATCCAACCGTAACAGAAATAGATATAGATCTTTTCAAATATATATCCATGCTTAGAGTCATGTTAACCGATGAAACTGTAAGGAGCCAGTGCCTGAAAAGTGTACTAAAGTAAAGCTGGCCATACACTGCAAATTTTGGCTGGTTCTTTGAATCAAATCGGCTAAAATATTAACCATTGAAAGTACGTTTTTGTTACCTACACAGGCAAATCAAAAATTTGATGGAAGCACCTATGGCACAGAAATAGTGTTGTTAACAGATGGAGAGGATGCGGGTGTCAGCAGTTGTTTTCCTGCAGTCCAAGCCAGTGGAGCAATCATTCACACTGTTGCTCTTGGAAATAGTGCAGACAAAGGACTTGAAGGATTGTCCAACATGACAGGTGAGTTATGTTTTTTTTTTCTTGGCAGCTAAATATATGGGTTGTAGTTTCAAAAACATCACATTGATGAAGATAACACTTTGAAAAAAGAGAGTGAACTCAACGAAATGAACACATCCTAGAGTGCACATCCATAAAAGCCTGAAAGACCTATAACAAGAAGCTGAACACCAATTTAAAAAAAATGCTGAATTCAATTTTCAAACACAATTTCTGGTAGAAACTCTAGTGACTTCCCAGGGTCCATGGAACCTCAGTTGACAAGTTGACAAAAAGTTGAAACACAAGAAAGGGCCCTCCCAATACCTAAGACCTGGTGTCCCAAAATTGTCACAATAAGCCCTCCAAAACACATGGCCTTAATTAAATAAACGATTACTTAAATAAAGAAAGCTAGTAGCTTGATATTACAGTCTAAAGGACTTACTTTTTTTTAGCTTCGGATTTGGAACCCTTGCTGTGTGTATGTATTTATATGTGTTTATAGTTATTATAAACCAAGAGGCAATTACGGGGTTTTAGGCCCCTTTCACAATGGCATTCTGTTAGTCTGTTTTCTGCAATACGTTCCTTAGGGGCGGCCAGATGTAAGCGGAGGTCTATATCCACCCACTTCCGGGTCAGTTCAGCTCAGACCGAACAGAAAAAGTCTGCGTCCGGGTCTGCTTTTCTTGAACAAATGTGGGCACCAGGGCCGTCTTTAATACTGATTGGACCCTGGGCAACACCAGTGGCGGACCTAAGGATCAAAGGTCTCGGCCGGCTGTCACTTTCTCTCCTCCCCGCTGGGACACAGAGCAGCGCCCAGCGGGGAGGAAAGAAACCAGGAAACATTGCCCCCCCTCCTCTCTATATACATTGCCTCCCCTCTCCCCTCTCTAATCTCTAGAGACAGGGGGGTAATGTACATAGAGAGGGGGAGGGGGGGCAATGTATATAGAGAACTGGCCGCTGGATACCGACCCGGAGCTGGGACTGTGCTGGGCCCCCTAGAGGCCCGAGGCCCTGGTGCGCCCGCTCCGGCGGTAGTTCTGCCACTGCTTATGTGGGCTCAAGGGGCAGCTGCTTTGGGCCCCACAACAATGATCGGGCCCTGGGCGACTGCCCCTTTTGCCCTGCGTTAAAGACGGCCCTGGTGGGCACATATAGACAGATGCACAGCCATAAACGTAAACAGTAATTACATGAGTCCAATTGCACTCAATCCCAAAGTGGAGGGGAAATCAGATGATACATGGATGTCACGCGTTCTGATGCGACTCAACAAGGAAATCTCTCTTTTATCCCCTACGGAGTTGGAATGGAAGCTGCTCTGTAAAAGGGGCATAGGGCTTGATTTCATTATATATGGCCTAAACAGAGGCTTTGTATTTTAGGATGGGAACTTTGTGACCCGTAAATTGTTTAATATATGACTACACTCTCTAGGTGTTTACCTTAGTTGCCTTAGAGCAAGCCATTTAAATTTAGAAATTAAACCCCAAAAAATAAGTAGCTTGTCTGCCAAGTAACAGAAAGGAAGCACCCAGACCATAACATCCTATTCTGAAAAATAGTTAGGTTTTGATTATTAACCTGAAATCTGCAGGTAGACTCACAAGGAAGTGCATGGCTTTTAACTGGTGTAGCATGTATAATTAATGTTTATTCATTCTCTGCAGGTGGTTTAAAACTATACGCATCAGATAACGTTAATACCAATGGTTTGATTGATTCCTTCAGTGGCATTAAATCTAGCAGTGGGGATGTCCAAGCTCAGTCCATACAGGTATGTACAGTATATGCCTATGTAGCAGAGCTTTCATAACTTATTAGTAGGGATGCACTGATACTGATACTAGTGCCGATGTCCAGTATTTGGGTGAGTACTCGTACTCGCCCAAATGCTACGATGCCGACCCAATACCTGAGCTTCCGTTATCAGGAAGCTGGGCAGCGAGTCATTACACACTGCCCGGCTCCCTCATTGGCCGGAAAGCCGGCTCTATGCGCCCTAGTCACTTGACGAGGGAGCATGGAGACGGCTTCCCTGCCAATGAGGGAGCAGGGTGGGGAGTCTTTACACGCCACCCGGCTTCCCGACTAATCAGGAAGCCAGGTGGCGAGTCATTACACGCCGCCTGGCTTTCTTAATGGGAATTCCGGTATTGGTATTATGTATCGCGAGTACCATAAAAAATATCAGTACTCGTACTCGATACCAAAAAAACGGTATCGGCGCATCCCTACTTATCAGTATGCATCTTGAGAAAACATTGTAAAGTTTACCTAATAATAGTTTCACGTGAACAGGGCCCTGTCCATACACTTGCACTGAATAAAGCACGATCACTGTGTTGCAAAACAGTTACACACTGTATGTTCGAAGTGCGTCCTGTATATGTAATGATACAATATTGCTGCCCTTATGTACATTATCAATATAATTAAAATGATAAAGATACATGTGTTTTTTAAAACCTTAACCTTAAACAAAGGTGTGCAAAGTCCTTCAGTGTGCTTCTTTAAAAATCAACCACAAGCTGAGTAGAAAATTCTGTGTCCTACAGAGCGGGACCCTTGCTCTCTGTGGGGAAGCAGTGATCTCTTTGCAGAGGTCTGCCCCACCCCCTCATGAGTCAGAGCTCTCCAATCAGATGGGAGTATGAGCTTTGCTGATTACAGAGCTATAGGTCTGATTCAGTGGGGGGCATGTCAGACCTCTGCAGTTAGACCACTGCTTCAAGAGACCAAGGGGTTGATTTCTTAAAGGAGAACTATGAGGTAAGTGATTTTCACTCAACCTCATAGTTCGAGCCGAGGTATGACGATGAAACTGTCATGGTTAGAATTTCAAACTAACACAACTGAATTCAGAATGTTTGTTCCACTTTCTAATCTTTAATAGGGTCAAATCAACAATCGATTTCCACCACAGTAACGAAAAAATTTGAAGCATGCTGGAGAATTTTATTCGATCAAACAAATGATTAGAAATCCTGTCAAATTTACTGCTGTAAGAGGCAACGTTGGAGAGATTCCTTCGCTTGATCACTTCCTGTCTCATAAAAAGGTTGTCCCCAGAACAGGAAGTGAGGGGAAATCTCTCTAACAGCAACATTGACATAAGGTTTTCCCCTACTTCCTGTCTCATAAAACATTGTCCCAAAAACAAAATGTAAGAAGAAATATTTTTCTAGAGCCCCAGATAGAAGTAAAACCTAAAAGGGGTTCTAATCTTCCCCCATTCTATCAAAAACCAAATAAAAAGATTTGGGTATGGATACACTTATCCATGCTGATTTAAAGGAGAAGTATTAGGAGAGTAAAATGTACTCTTCCTAATACTTTGAGCCGTCATGTGACACTGCAACTGTCACACGCCGGCTCTATAGATTGCGAACTGAGCAGTAACAAACCACTGATCACTCAGCTCACAGTCTTCTGCCTGCTCAGAGCAGTGACTGTCAGTCACCTCTCCTCACAGGGATTCCCCCCTTCCCTCTCTGCTTCTCCGGCGCTCATTGGCAGGGCAAACAGGGGAGGGGGCGGGCACAGCTGGCTCTAGAGAGGCAAAGCCTTTTAATCAGGCAGCAGGGTAGATCCCAACAATATTGTTGGGATCCTTTTTAACTACGGTACGGCTCTGTGCTGTCAGCATATAGTGGGCAGTAGCCTGTTATATGCTGAGTTTGGGTCACAGGAATAGATTAGTAAATGTACCCCATGAATCATAAGAGAACTAAAACCAAAAAAAAGTTTGGCTATAGTTCTTTTTTAAAGTGATGGTTCATTTGGGCTCTAAAGACTGCTCTTCTGATTTGGACTAGAAACACCTTCCCTTTTCCTCATCTGCGTAACCTGGGGGTGCGCTCTCTAGTTTACAGTGAAAGCTGATAACACTGTCTGAGATTTCAGTTCAGTGCACATGATGCTACAAGCACACTGGATTTCTTGCAGAAAATGTATTTAGTCTGCAAAAAAAGAAAACGGATGCAGTACCACATCTGGACCGGTAAACTGTAATATATTACATTTTTGATCTTGGATTTAGATACAATGTAATATACCAGAAAGCCTTTGCTTATTCCACCTGCCAGATTGGGTAATATTAACAATGACCTTTCTCGTCACCTGATTCGTTGTTTCAAGATACCACAAATTTGTAGAACTGATAAGGAAATCACTTCTGTGCCTTCTAAGTTTGCACTTTAACTGTTACTGTCCATTTCTGTTATAACAGATTGAAAGTACTGCAAAAACAATGACACCAAACCAATGTCTGACTGGCAAAGTGACTATCGACGGCACTGTGGGCAGTGACACTTTCTTTTTAGTGACTTGGAACATGGAAGCCCCAAAAATTCAATTAACAGATCCAAAGGGGAAAGTATATCAGAACGCCGAGTTTGTAATTGATACCAAATCAAGGTTCGGCCGGCTCTCAATTCCAGGCACTGCTGAGGTATTGCAGCTTATATAATTTATCTTGTAAAATATTATTATTGTTATTATTATTATTAATAATAATATGTTTTGTATTTGTATCTTTTTGTGATTTTTTTTGTGCACCAAAATCCTATATATTGTTAGTATTTTAAAGGAAGATTTTCTCTCCTGAGAGGAATTTCCTGAAATTATTTGAATTTTTATATATTATAAGAAAAAAAAGGGTAGATTTAGAAAGCATCAAATCTTACATTCACCAAACATTCACTGCAGGTGAATTATTTTGCTGGCACGTGTGTTTTAAACAGCATAGATGATTCACAACCAGTTTGGTGAAAGCCACATGCATTGTTTTATAAATTTGCCCCCCAAAAAAGTAAAATATCACAAAAAGGTGCAGATGTTGAGGCAGTAAACCTTTAAAGCAGGTATAGACAATCTTGGCACTCCAGCTGTTGTAGAACTACAAGTTCCATGAGGCATTATAAGACTCTGTTACAGACATGACTTTCAGAGGCAGAGACATGGTGGGTTTTGAAGTTTCACCACAGCTGGAGTGCCGTAGTTGCAGAACCTTGCTCTATAGCCTTATTTACACAGGTACCAGTCTGAAGAGCATTGTGTACAGCTGGTATTCACAAAGCAAGTACAAAGCGTTTAGCAGCAAGTGACACCATTTCTTGCTAGCTACCCTAACCCACTTATATTTACCCTACCTACACCCCATTGCACATCTGCTGTTCTGTCTGAGCCAAGAGTCAAACCCTGTGTAAGCCTGGAGGACGTCACCCCCTCTTTAATGGGACAGTGTTTAGGCCTGGTGATTGGCTGTTCAGCCCTGTGCATTGCATCATGTGATGAGGTCATGTTTGTCCATACCTGGAAGCACCATGTATTTTGTAAGGGCCTGCGCCACAGCAGCAGGGCGAGCATGACAAATGACAGTATATGTGGGTTGGGATGTGGGGGCAAAGTACCAGAGTCTCTTTAATGGTAGTACTATCATTGAGAACCATTATCATTACCACTGATTACCATTATCATTACCACTTAATGCATGTCTGGCCCAAATTCCAATCCCTTTGATGGAAAGCACTTTAACAAATTAATGAGCCACAGATGGGCTTCCCAATGAAATCGGTGGAGTTGGGATCAACCTGCATGGGGTGTGCAGTATAGGATTGGCAAGATTCTAAAGAGTGGCTGTGTGGCATCGACCTGAGAAGTTGCATTTCAGGTAAGTACAGTATATTGCAGAAATGCTGGAGCAGGGGGGCTGCTAAAAAAAACCTTTTAAAGCACCTTTCAACTCTAGTCTGGGAACGTTGAACACAGATCTTAGCGTTGGATATTGTTTTAAACAAGCTAATAACTTGTTTAAAGTTTCAGCATACAGATGTTTGTTGCTGAAAGCTTTATAAAGTCATGTAAACACAGAATTTCATCAAATTTATAGAATTTTCTAGAACATAAAAGTATTACCATGCCTTATAAGCTCTATGTTTCGCAATTGTAAAATCTCCAACAATATGTATATTTTCTTTTAGAAAGGTGACTGGCCATACAACATATGCAACACTCCATCAGCAAATCAAGTTCTTGGTATCACGGTGAATTCTCGAGCAGCAGATCCAAATGTCCCCCCAATTACTGTTGAATCATTCCTCAATGCAGACACTAGCAGCTTCCCCACCCCAATCATTGTGTATGCCACAGTGACACAAGGGCTTTCTCCAGTTCTAGGAGTGAAAGTTACTGCATACATTGAAGCAGAAGATGGAACTGTTACACCATTACAGCTCTTGGACAATGGTGCAGGTAAGGATTTATATGAAATGTACACATTGTTTTATGCATTTATTTACTTATTTGTAGTTTGTTCTGTTTTGAGCAGCTTTTTTCTAAGGCTGTCCATCTCTGCAGCGGTAAAATAGTCCCCTCTCTCCCCCAGGCCCTATCAGTTCAGCAGGGGGCCCCGGGAGAGAATGCACTATTTAATAAATCAAGGTAGTGCTGAAAACATGAAAGAGCTCCCTCTCTGTCCCTGGACACCCCTGCTGAACTAGGTGTATGGGCAGCACCGGTGGAACTACCAAGGTCACAGCGGTCGCATATACATTCCCCCAGTGCTACCAGGCGCTCCTTAGTTCTTCTGTGCACACATGGAAACAATCCCACTATATGTTGCTATTGCATCTAAAGGTTTGTTTTCCTCACTTTACTGCCCTAACATAACCGTTATATTGGTGGCAGCAGACATCTCAACTCTTTTGGACGTTCTGGGAGTCTCCCGCTATTATTGGCTATTTCAATTTGCAATAGTCAATAGCAGGCTGGCTATTGTACCCACCCATTGCTGCTGTCAATCAGTAGACGTGGACCTGAAGTTCTCCTTTAGGTCCTCCTCTGCTGATTGACAGCAGCAATGGGTGGGAGGCAGTAAAAGGGATAACCATGCAGATCAACTGAAAGAGGTTACCAATCAAATCTCCCACTCCCCCCATGTTAATCTGAACCTCTCTAGCTCCCTGAACAATAGAACAGTCTCCAGGGGGTGCTGCAGCTGCATACACAGGCCTTTAATTGAAGCCCTCTGGTGCTGGAAAGTTGGCAGGGGGATGTTAATTTACAGTAGGTAGACAGGAAGAGGTTAAGACCCAATACAAGTGTATTGCTACCTGTGTCCTGTTGGGAATAGTTCAATAGTTCACTTCAATTCCTGTCCCAGAGACACAACAGTAACTAAGTGTAAGTGAGGCAAAATCCCCCTTTAGTTATTTTTAATGCAACAGATATTGTCACTAGATTTCCCCTCGACTCCTGTTCAACATGTTAAATTATTTATCAGTTTCTGTTCTAATGACAATAGTCACAAGACAAACAGAGAGTCTCCTCA